GTACGTGTAAAGTAAAAATCATTTGCTTTTTTTGTGCAGGATTATTCTTAAACTACTAACAAATTCGACATTAAATAAAGAAAGCTTAATTCATAGGCCACTCAGTTATCATCCAACGATTTACGTTTTTAAATTCAAGTTCGTAAAGTACATGATCATTATCTATTTGATACCGGTCTCACATCCAACATGGTTGAACTCCGTTTTTCATAAATACCCGTTGGAACTCATCGCGTTGACTTTCAGTTTTACTCATTACAAAATTCGGCAATTTTCACACCCTTCTCCGTAAGAGGAGAAGAATGTGAAAGGGAACGAAACAAAATCTCAATATCCAGAACCTCTAAATAGTTGTGCCTTGATCCTTTGCAAGTGTAGAAGTATGTAAAACAAAAATTTGTTAGGGCATCTATGGAGCTCCATAAACGCTTATATTCGTGCACAAACCAAAAGACTAATAGAAGAAGAAATCTTCCAACATTATGGGGTAACAGTAGCACTATGGTAAAGATCAGGTATTCTCGAACTACTTTAGCAATGTATTTACCGTAGAGATGCCTTCAACTTCAGTTCATACACACTAGACACTGTAACCACTAAATAATTCGAAGTTTTTGACCTAATAAATGAGTTTGGTACAGCCAAATCCGTAAAGCCCGATGGAAGGCATTCTAGGTTATTAAAAGAATTAGAAAATTTTGTAACGAATACCTTAAGCACATGTTTCAATCTATTTGTAACTCGGAGTCGTTACAAAAAGAGTGGAACAATGACATAGTAAGTCCTATCTTCAAAACAGGTACGAGACATAAGCTTGAGAAATATCGACCCGTAAGTTTAACCAGAATAGTTGCTAAAATATTGGAAAGGACTATTCGGAAGGATGTTGTTCTTCCTGTTTGTAAAAGACCCTCCTAGTCTCCTATCACCATCGGTTTTGTTATTTGCTGACGATGTCAAGATATGGAGAGCAATAAGAATTAAAGGTGATATATTAGAACTTCAAAACGACCTGGAGAAATTATATGAATGTTTTACAATTTGGCAGTTGGCGATAAAAGATTCTATGTGAATTGTGATGCATATTAGTCACCAAGGTACATATACATACACTTTGAATAACAATGCGCTACCTGGTGTGCAGACACAAGACGACTAGGGAGTCATCATTAACCGAGATTTTAAATCTACTGCACACTGGCGTGCTGTAGCCGCCAAAGCTTTTAGAACTCCGTTGTCAATACGTAGAGCCTTTAGTCATGTCGATGCTAAAACCCTTTTGATTTCGTATACAGTATTCGTGCAAGCTGCTAAACCCTGCGTAAAAGGAGACAATGAGCTGTTGGGAAAGGTTCAAAGAACCATAGATAAGTCGATTCTCGATTTAGAAAAAGCTACCACATGATGCTCGACTGGCTAAACTAAACCCATTTTCAATGTCATATAGAAGAACTGACTTTAGATTACTTATTGATAAATTTGCATCTGATATGCCTTCACGTTTCATGTTTTGCAGAACAGAGAATTTACGAGAACACTCAAAAAAACTTTACAAGCTCAGAACAAATTACTTGTCAGCTGATGATCGATTTTCCCATCGATTCAATAATGAGTGGGACTCATTACTTCAACAAGTTGCTGAAACTCCATCTATCGATGCTATCAAAAGAAAGTTTCATCAACTGAGAGACCACGATTGTTAGGATCAACACAGGCCACCTAGCCTCCTGTCCTTTCCATACTGAAACTGTACTGTTTTAATACATTACAAATTTAGTGCATGATTTTGCATAATGAAATAAATTAGTTAACTCTCAATAGGTTTTTGTTCATTACATTTATACAGCTCAACAGTATCTTGATTAAAGCCGTTATTCACTGATAACAATACATATACGTTTTACAGTATAACAAGTAGAACTTTAAACAATTAGTTATCAGTTCATAAGCTTAATAACAGCCAGCTCTTTTTAAAGTCTGAATGTTCTATATTCAATACATACACACTCTCATTCCAGATATTATCATAACAGTCGGTAACATTATTTAATAATCTCTGTTTTTCAATATTGTTCTAGTTAAGAAAACATGCTGATAAAGTGTTATGCATCAGTTGTAACGGTTATATGGTTAAACATATTTAGTACGGTGGAGAAGATTTGTAGCTCAAGTGGATGATTTTGATGGAGTTTTGTTCTCCGAGCTGGATGGTTTGGTTGTAGAGCTTTCATCGTTCTTCTGAACGACATCATCAGCACAAATTTAAGTTCAATAAGAACCAACTTAACGTCGAGGTGTACAGAACAAGCTGTGAAACACATATGGAGAAATTCGAACACTTCACTTCTATTTGAAATTTGTGCTGATGATATCGTCCAGAAGAAGAACGATGAAAGCTCCACGACCAAACCACTGAGCTCAGAAAACAAAACTCCATCAACATATTTAATACATATTACTGTAATATTACTATTCAATTAAACATCTTTAACATTGAAAAAAATCCTGAAAATTAAATTATTTAATTAAGGCGGCCTGCTTGAGCATCTGAGCTACCTGTTCCTGCCATCTAGATATTTCAACAAGTTATCTATTTTTGTTTGTTTTAGTATATCACTATGTTTATTAATCGCATAACCTATTCTGCTACGTTTCTGAAAAGTGTACAACCTTTCGTTATCAAAGTTACAAAAAACTCAATAAGAGACAATGTGGTTGCTGGCAATATACAACGAAAAGAGTGTACATTATTCAGATGTTCAATTAGTGAACTGCTAACATCTAACTGGCTATCACTCAATATTTATCTTCAGGATCGACCAAGAAGTAAGAAACGGAAACTTGTTGAAATACTTTGTTTTTGGTTGAGATCATGAATTAATTGATGTTAGACCACCGTTGAAAACCTGGAAGCACTGGACGGCCGTTTCGTACTAGTATGGGACTCCTCAGCAGTGCGCATCCACGAGGAGTCTCATACTAGTACGAAACGGCCGTCCAGTGCTTCCAGGTTTTCAACGGTGGTCTAACATCAATTAATTCATGATTTCAACCAAAAACTTAACAATCTCCACAACCCCCATACTGAAATACTTTGTGCTGAGAATTCTATATTGTACCAAAAATATAATACTGAATAAAGTTGATAATAATAATAATAACAATAATAATAATAATAATTAATAATCAGATCATATCAGTAATGATTTTTATTGAAAAAATATTGATTTTTTGAATGGTATAAATCAATAATCTAGCAGATCGATTTTGATTTACTCATAGAGATATAAGATCTGACTAAATTTTGATCAATATTTAAATCATTATTGAATTTTATAATTTAATTTTTAAACGACAATTAAATTTATTGATTATTTATCATGAATTGATTGTAGTTAAAATGGAGAATCATATTGTGATTTAAATTGGTAATTTGATATAAACTTAGCGCATAGTTCATATGAATGATTCAATTATTGATTGAGTTTCGATTAATATTATAAATGGATCAATATGAGATCACTATTGAAAACCATGGAAGCACTGGACAGCTGTTTCGTCTTAATGTGTAACATCTCAGAAGTGCGCATCTACGATTTCACATGTAGGACTTGAATTCAATACAATCGGTCTGGTTTGTGTAAACACTTAATTTCCAAACCATTGAGCTGGCATCGAATGGTGTTAATATTAAACTTCAACCAAACTGCGATATTACACGATCGTACTCCATTGTATTCAGTGAGTAACTGCCTCTACAACAAACACGCTTAAACTCCACTGGCCACAGATTCTCACTAGAATTCCAGGAAATTAGTCCTGAAGTTAGTCACAAGTGAGCACATAATAATTAGCAGTATAGGGTTGTGGAGATTATTGATCCATTAATAATATCAATTTCAACTGAACAATCTCCACAACCCTATATATTCTCTGAATTAACAATTTATACTTAATCAAGAATCATCCAACATTTAATCTTTTACACATCAGTGCATTATAAATATATGACAAACTGAGAATGATAAATTTGATAAGAAAAGATGGATAGTGGCCAGCAGTGGAATCCAGGATGCGCGTTTCGTCCTATCTGGATTTCACTGTTAGCCACTATCCATCTTTGCCTATAATGCTTGTGAATTAAAGCAACATCGAGGGAATACGCACAGTATGCAAATATGCGAATAACAGACTGATTAATTGCAGCCTTAAACTTCAATGGGTAGATTCAAACAAACAAGACCAAGTGAATTGAGAATGATAAAATTTAGTTTTCTTATATTTCATATGAACGCAAGACTACTGAAAAGAATAGAGAAACATAATTAAGGATGAGAATTCGCAGACATTCACTTCCAGTGTATTGAATAATAAGCTGTAAGTTGTTGGGGTAAATCTAACACTTCGTTCGAACATACCACTTGGACAATTATAAACTTGAGTATAACTCTCTTTTCAATTATCAAACAAAACTGAATAAAACGTTTTATGAAAGGATGTTTACACATTATTTTTCTTCGAAGGGAGTTGAAAAGATAGAACATGGTGAAAGTTAAACAAGAAAACCAGTGAAATTTCTAAAATCTCCACAAAACCCCTTTTGATGATAATCATCTGCTCACTAGTGACTGACTTCAAGAGATACTCCTGGAGTTCTAGTGAGAAGCCGTTACCAGTGGAGTTCAACCAGGTCTGTTGTGAGATATCAGCTCACTGAAGACAATGGTGTACGGTGGCGCAACTTCGTGGATTGATTGAAGTTAGACATTAACACCACTGGATGCCGGCCGGCTCAGTGGTCTAGTTGGTTGGGCGCCTGGCGCGAGACTGGTAGGTCCTGGGTTCGAGTCTCGTGGGGTGCGGGATCGTCTATGCACACTGCTGAGGAGTCCCATACTAAGACGAAATGTTCGTCCAGTGCTTCTAGGTTTTCCATGGTGGTCTAGCTTCAATTGATTCATGATTTCAACCAGTGAAAACAAAACATGTTGCTTACTTACCTTATTACAACCAGATTTTAGAGCTTTATTCATGAGTATTTTTCTTTGATCAGAAGAGCTGTAAAATTAAATGTAATAAGTGGGAAGAATAATAATATATCCAAATATCGAATAGAATGTTAGTACACTAAATAAACTTGTTTGGTTATATTAGGACTACAGTCATTCAAATATCTTTCAGTTTCTCATAATATTTAGGCTTTTAAGCAGTCATTTGGCTAGAAATATCTATTATGTAATGCATGTTGATAATTACTAGGCTGATTTACTTACAATCTCAAGGTATATTCTTGTTTCGCTGGTTGAAATCACGAGTCAATTGAAGCTAGACCACCATGGAAAACCTGGGAGCACTGGACGACCATTTCACCCTACTATGGGACTCCTCAGCAGTGCGCATCCACGATCGCGTACCCCGCGAGATTCGAACCCAGGACCTATCAGTCTCGCACGCGGGCGCTTAACCAACTAGACCACTGAGCCGGCTGGCATCCAACAGTGTCAATGTCTAACTTCAACCAATCTGATAATAATAGTCTTGTTTGTTTGTTTGTTTTGAAGAATAGATGCTGAATCTCTAACTGCTTTAATCAAATTTGTTACCCTTGACAACAGAATGCGAAGAATACTGGCCGTTGTGATGTGTATTCAATAGGACAGGAGAAAAAAACACCACACTGCATCTTGTATTGATTCAGTTTCAAATTCTTTTAATAGGACGTGTGATTTTTGTTAAGTATGACAATTATATTTATTGTATCTATTCAGATGAACTATATTCATTGTATATTTTGAACAGTAAGTTTGTTTTCCACTTATATGTGGTAATGTATAATGCATGTAAAATTTAGTAGATAAATGATTCTGTTTTGTTGTCATGATCAATGTGATTTGGAACGTGATTTTAGGACATGTTTGAAAACATGTTATGAAGACCCAACATAACTTCATTACATTAGTCATTCATATTCTTACTTTGTGTAGTAGGAATTCCAGTAGTTTCGCTTTTCAAAGTATAAGCAGTAGGATGAAGTAATTGAAGTAGTTAACGATTGTCAAGTATAAGCATTAAAACTGTGAACCCAAAAGAGTCAATATGTACAAAACTGAGATGACATACTACTGAAAGTAACAAGGGTGGACCTCTCAGATACAAAAGTATTAGAGTAAATTAGGAGCAACTCATGATATTAAGACATTAAATTTACTTAAAGGTATCTAGAACGTTGCAAAAGTTTATTCTTCAAGTAACTGAGGTTGAGAGCCAATATTGTTCGCAGTGAAAAGATAGTAAATAGAAGCCGATTGTAGTCACTTTTAATTACCGTAGAATATGAACAAGCAACTGATGGGTAACTTTAAATCTATAATTAACAACAAATTTCTCCTTGACCACACCTCACTACACTCAAATTCTGTTGATAAGAAAGAATAATTATGACACCAATAGACAAGCGTTTAGGTGCCCTTTCATTTTGACGCCAATTAGATAGGACAGTGATGTTATTGACAGACTCATCACTTTTAGTGGAGTGGTATCTGACTCCAATTATATTGTATTATGATGATCATCGAAATATACATGCCTTCAACCCTCCTTTGTAATTATCGACTTAAATCGCGATAGTGAATATATTTCACACAATATTTGATCTAGATACGCAATCAATGAAACGCAGTGAAGGAAGTGAAATGAAATGAAACGATACACAGTGTAGAAGACGAGTGAGCCAACTCCATTTAACCAAGAGTGAATCGATATTTATAGTCAAATAAAAATAAGTTACAGTTACATAATGAATAGGGTAAGTAAGGAACACACATATGAACATGTAAAAACGAACATGGTTATTGAACAAATAAATGACAATGTGGAAATGTAGCTAGCTTGCTAAAAATGAATAAATTGGTCTGTCCAGAAGCTAGAGTAGCCCATGTGTACTTGACATAATGCCAGACCCACAAGCATACACATTATATTCGTACATTGTGTTAAATTACCAAGAACTGGATTTCTAATCGACATTTATCTGTGAGAGAATTCTCGGAGTTCTAGTGAAAAACCGTGATCAGTGGAGCTAATCTATGTCGGGTAGAAACAGCTGTCGACCTCAGTACAATGGAAGATGGTTGCGCAATTTCGTGGATTGGTTGATGTTAGATACTATCACCATTGGATGCCGGCTCAGTGGTCCAGTAGGTTAAGCGTCGCGCGCGAGACCGAAGGCCGGTTCGAATCCCGCGAGCGGGATCGTGGATGCGCACTGCTGAGGAGTCCCACAATAAGATGAAATGGCCGTCCAGTGCTTCCAGGTTTCCATAGGTGGTCTAACATCAATAGGTTCATAATCTCAATCAAAAAAATTCTACACCGAATTGATCTATAAAGACGGTTATTTATCCGATGTACGAGGACTATTATTAGATTCATTAATAGATTAAACTTCTGTATGTGTGTCTACTAAGCTTTCCCTAGTGGTGGTCTAGCTTTATGGCCTATCTCCATGGTGGTCTAGCTTCAATTGACTAATGATCTTATCTATTAAAATTACTATGATATCTACAGAACCCCTTCTGATCTAACAACTGTTTTTAAGGAACAAATTCAATTATTTTTGATTATATCTTATCATCCATTAAATAGTTTACTTACTAATTACAAAGACCAGTTAGTAAATCAGAGCACTTAAGTGATTATAGAACTTTTGAGAGTATATAGCGATTTAACAGCGATTGACCAACTGATTAACATTATAATAACATTGATCACATCTTGTATTGACATGGAATTAATGTATTTCATTATCTATTACCTGGGATGCTGTATATTATATTTGTATACATTCTATGTTAGTCAACTTATAGTTGTGTTTGACAGACTTTGATTATTTATACAGGAAGTGGTTCTTATTGTTTTACATTTTACAAAAGCGGACTCTTTTATCTTTCTTCTATAAGAGAACTACATTGAATGTGTTTCTTTTTTCATCTAATCTTATGTTTAATTAGTATAAAACTGTTTTGAGATATAATTATGATACTTACATTATCATCTAAATACCAGACATAAGATGAAGAGTGTTAAGTTTAACGTTGATTAACTTATAGTTCTAGTGAGAAGCTTATGACCGATGGAATAAACCAAGTCGTGATTGAGGTAATAACTCAGTAATGACATTTGTTGATGAGGTTTGTATCTTCTACAAACCGACTAAAGTTAAAGATAACGTATAAACTGATTACTAAGATCTGTGTTTCCCAACGTCTTGAGTTAACACTGATTTTTGTTATTATCAAGGAGAGATGGTTATCCTTTAATTTCTTTCTCCACCTCTTGTCAATATGTTATTAACATGGTCTTTAAACATTCAATATCAAACAGACATAAACAACATATAATTTTTTTTATTTCAACACATAGATAATGGTACAAAGAGGCACCAAATACATGTGCGCCACACAAATCTCATTCGATATGTGTGAGGGCTATGATACTGCCCGGGTGCCCAGACCGAAGCAGGTGGTTTTCTTAGGGGGCCACACCCCGAGCCTTTGACCTAATGGTCTGATCCACAAGGCAGTGGAGCATCGTAAGGAGATGCAGTCCCATGGAAGCCGATGACCAGCAATTGGTTCATACGCCATTTTTTCCCGCAGGATACTGGAGCCCATGTGCACCATTGATTTTAAATCCGGTTAAAGCGCCGGACATTCACTTTTCGTCCTCTCATTTTCGTAAACAACAGTAGTGCCACGAGAAGGCAGTGAGTAGGACTTCCCTGGCAGAGGCTATATACGCGTGGCCGTGTGAGAGCATTTCGAGAGGGAGAGCGGACTCTCCCCACTCTCAGCCGTACCAGGGCATTGTTACAAGTTGTCACATTATATCAGCACAGAGAGAGATGATATTATCAAGACAAATGTCACGATTATGGAAGTAATAAAAATGTCAGTTGTACCATAAAATAAAGGCATAAAAAATATTATTCGAGATGAAAGAACGTAATCATGGGATAAAAAGGATTAGATTACTTTTTAGACTGAAAGTCTATGGAAATAGGAGTTAATGTGCCTACATCATTGAAATCGATTCTGATAAATATCACTCAATGTTTCAAAAAATTGATCATGATGATCACGCCGATCACAATCAGGTAGTCTACACTTAATAACATGGACCAATCCAATAGTCATTCACTTTATGGACAGACTTCACGTTTTGGATTAGTTGGCTCTAGCTTACTTCCAGTCTAGATCTATACAAGCGAACATAAAGTATTGAGATATGCAGTGCTTGAAGAAACATCCAATAATGTATTAAGCTTTACATAAAAATGTATTTGTTTTCGAAGCTACAACACTAGTAGTTTACGATGTGACAGGATGATAAGAAGTTACAAGAATCGATACATGACTTTGCGAAGATTATGAAGTTTTTGCAAATCCTATGTAATAATCATATGGTCACGAGTTGCCAGTGTCTATCACGAGGAATATTTTGAATTATCTTTAATCTTGACAATTACAGGTTCGATTTTGAGCAGATGTACACTAGTCAGTCAGTCAGTAACAACGTAGAACTTCGTACGTACGTACATCAGTTCGAGTTGCTACACCACATTAGCACAGAGATGCACTTGTCGATTCAAATCCCGTAGTGGTAGAGGTAATAAGAGTATAAGCAGTAATCGGGAAGATTAGGGTTTGGAGATGTTATTTAAAGAGTATAATCCAGTGAAATAAATTTGGAAAGAGGAAAAAAGGGACATGAAGAATTGAAAAGATTAGAATTTGGGAGAACACAGAGAGTGGATGCACCTGCGCCATTGCAAACGATTTTGAGCCATGTCATTCAGGGTCTCTAACCATCGGTTGCTGTCATCTCGCGGTCCCCAACCAGGTAGTCTACACCTACCAACATGACTCATTTCACTTGTCAGTGACTTCCAACCTACTCCTATACCACTGAACATAGCACGTCGAGGCAGTTGGTCGTTTGGCATACGTAACACGTTTCCCAGCCATCTCAACTGATGAAGTTTCACTACTTCATCAATTGATTTGCCATGTACACTAAGACATATTTAAAGTGTTTTTCTAATCAAGTAATATCATAAAACATTTTCAAATTATTTCCTAGGTTACTTTTACTCTTTTTGACTGTATAGGATTTAGCCACCTATTTCTTAGAATTCTTCATATCATTAGTATTATACAGTAAAACACGATAGTTTACCTACGTAAAGATATTATAACCAAATAATAACTCACCATTTCCGACTCAATAATCCTACAATAACTGAATCTTTTGTCGGTGAATAACTTCTAAGTTGTTTACACCAGTTGCTCAATGATGAACTAATGTTATTATTACTGATATTAATTTCTGAGGATTGTGATGATTTGGTACCGGACATACTGAAAGACCGGTTCGGCTTCAGCTTACGAATATCCAGTACAACCATATCAATAATCTACGTGGATCATAAAGAAAACAATGAATAGAAAAGTATGCCAAAACATTTGATATCAGCAAGAAATTTCATTGAATCTTTTATTTTAACACCAAAAAATTAGTAAAATATAATTACATTGATTATGAAATAAGTAGCATTTCGTTTCTTCAATAACTCTTCAAATAGTGTGGTTCGATGTCCTATGTTCTGAGAGAAATCTATTCCTACAGTAATCAGTCCTTGAGTAGCAATAACCATCAATATTCTATGGTTTTAAGTTCACAAAGGATATTTTACGCTAGAGATTGGTATAAGTGGTTATCCAGGTTTCTCAAGGTAAGTTAATCAGATAAAAAGAATGCAATGGAATTCTTTCGTTGACTACTACTAAATCAAGGTAAACTCTGTCAAATTATATTCTTCATGGAACAATATTCTGAAACTGAATATTGTGGCTCCTCTATCGCATATGCAACAACAAATGCAGGAGAAAACAACTAGTGTATCAGCAGCCTCAACAGCAGTAGATCTCAACATACACAAATGGAAAAGCAAGATTCTCAGACACAACACAACATGCACCAATCGAATCACACTTGATGGAGAAGATTTGGAGAATGTAAAAACCTTCACATATCCAGGTAGCATCATTGATGAACATGATGGATCTCATGAAGATGTGAAGGCGCGGATCGGCAAAGCAAGAGCAGCATATTTACAAATGTACAATATCTGGAACTAAAAACAACTGTCTGTAAACCAACACCAAACTCAGAATTTACAATACAAATGTCAAGACAGTTCTAATGTATGGGATGGAAACTTGGACAACTAGGAAAGCCATCATCAAGAAGATACAATTGTTTATTAACAATTGTCTATGCAAAATACTTCGGATCCGTTGGTCAGACATTATCAGCAACAACCTACTGTGAGAGAGAACAAACCAGATTCCAGTGGAAGAAGAAATCAAGAAAAAGTTGTGGAAGTGTATAGGACACACATTGAGGGGAGCACCGAGCTGCGTCACTAGGCAAGCCCTCAATTGGAATCCTCAACGTCAAAGGAAAAGTGAAAGACCGATGAACACGCTACGCTGATAAATGAAGACAGGCATCAGGAAAATGAACGAAAATTGAATAGAACTAGAAAGGAAAGCCCAGGACAGAGTGAGTTGGAGAATGTTGTTCGGCAGTCTATGCTCCATTAGGAGTAACAGGCGTAAGTAAAGTAAGAATATTGTGTTTCTTTATGATCTATCAACAATTTATCGATATTTTTAAAAAAATGTAATCATGTCAGTGTATAAAGATTAGTAACCACGTCAAAAATATTAATAGTAAGTCAACCAGCCTATGACCAATATCTTGCACCGATTACAATGAATATGAGTTGTATTAATCAGGTCTTTTCATTATATTTGATATACCTTTCTACTTTAATTAGTGTATATCTAATTATAGTGTCTGTATGCAAAAAACAAATGTATTCCCACAAACGAATAACAAGATTTGATCGGGAGAAATTTAATCACCAACATATCAGAAACATCAATACATCCATATAAAGTACAAAGGAATTGAAACTCTAGACATGTATTGCTGACGTATCTATGCAGAACCATCAAACTTATGCTAGAACATATGATCTTAAGCAAAAAAATGATCTAAATATATATTTTCTTTTCAATCTAAGCTACAGGTCATGTGAAGAAATGATCAAACTATCAAGATAATCAATATTTTAATTATCTATCACCAATTTTTAGCTAAGGTTTCAGTTTTTGAAAGTTTGTTTATTCATTCCACCCCCCGGCCACCCACACCCTTTGTACTTCACTTCAAAGGATATTTTAACAAAAATTTAAGGTTGACCTTAAATGAACTTGGTTAGTAATGTCCTCATTACCTAAACACTATTAATCCTGTAAAACATTATTGATTTTATTCACTGAAATCATAATACATTTCATCCATGTTTATCAAAAATGGGTTTTATCAGAATGAGTTTTGTGGAGATTTTAGGAAATTTCACAGGTTGAAATCATGAGTCAGTTGAAGCTAGACCACCATTGAAAACCTGGAAGCACTGGACGGCCGTTTCGTCCTAGTACGGGACTCCTCAGCAGTGCGCATCCACGATCACTCACCTCGCGGGGTTCGAACCCAAGTTAGACATTAACACCGTTGGATGCCGGCTCAGTGGTCTAATGATTAAGTGCTCGCGTGCGAAGCCAGTAGGGCCTGGGTTCGAATCCCGCGGGGGCGGGTTCCTGGATGCGCACTGCTGAGGAGTCCCATACTAGGACGAAAAATGGGTTTTGCAAAGCAAATCATCTAATTCAAATAAATAATCAAAACAACAATGATGATACAGAAGAATATATTTGTTACATGACGTCTAAACTAAGTATACATTTGATTAAAGAGACAATATGATCTTAGTTCGAAAACCAATGGAAACCTAAAGGTATTAGATAGCAGTCTTGTCTTAGTATAGGGTTCCTCAGACGTACACCAGTATCCATCTACAACCTTATATCTGGAAATAGAATACATCATATTCGGCATCACGCACGAGCGATTAACCTTTAGATCACTGAACCGACATTCGACAGTATTGACATCTCATTTCAAACAAATTCCGATAATGTGAGACCGTGTTCTATTGGGTATTGTTGATAATTGTCTGACTCGTGACAAGTTCGGACTTCAATGATTATGGTTTCTCTCTAGAACTCTGGAAATTGTCTTTATTAGTTGGTCATTAGTAATCAATTGATAATGGTGAAACCAAAGGTTAGCCAGGTAGAAGCAGTAGTAACTATTACTAACTTTTAATAATTAAATTTAGGTCGCTCATCTTTCAAGGACTTTCATTGAGTCAGAATTTCGTTCGATCATAATCACTATATTGAGTTGACTGCTAATAGATGCATTCAAAATGTTAATATTTCTAAAGTCCACCATGTAGTTTTGCGTGAATAATTTGATATGAATGACAAACTTCCTATGACAAATTAGAAGTTATTCCATTATCTCATTTCACATTATATTTCATATAAACCTATCGTTAGTAACTACATGAAATCTTTAAGGAACCGTTACTAGTCGCGAGATTTGAATCCACGTAACCAATTATCATGGCTGGGTACATTCAGTTTACAACTGACCATTTGTCAAATAGACTTAGTTAAATGAACTTTAACTCTAGTCCTAGTAATTAGTGGTTCATAACATATGTAATGTATATTATTCTAAATTGATTTCTCGGTATAACCATGTCTGCTTCATTATAGATGAATGTGTTTAGTAATATTTTGTAAGAAATGACTTCATTATTTTATAAAGTTAAACAAATATTTATTGGAAGGGGTTTTTGTAGGTATTATAGTAATTTTAATAGTTGAGATTATGAGTCAATTGGAGCTAAACCACAATAGAAAACCTCGAATCACTGAACGGCAGTTTTTTCCTATTGTGGGACTCCTCAGTAGTGCACATCCACGATTCCACTTCTCGAGATTCAAACCCAGAACCTATCGGTTTCACGCGCGAAAGCTTTAACTCTAAACCACTAAACTAGCATCCAATGGTGTTAATGTCTAATTTCAACTAATCCACGAGACTGAACAACACATCCACCATCGTCTTCAGTGAATTACTATTTCAAAACAGATCCAGTTGAATTCCAAATAGGTGTTCTTTTATCATTTCATAACAAATCATATTTATTATGTCTTGTAATTAAACAGTATCTCTGTTAGATGAAGTTTAAACCATAGATCTTACATTCAACGTAAGTAATATAATAATAAATGAATAAAGGAATAGAATGAACACTTGTCATGCATTTGATCTGCACTAAATACGGACTTGATACGCATGACATTGATCATCACCCAGTGATCAATCAATTGTGATTACATCTCAGTCCCACAGTAGGTCAGTCGCGGCCCGGATAGCTCAGTGGTCACGTCTCTGACTGTGAAGCTGGGTGACACGGGATGGAATCCGCTTGGGAGCACCAGTTCCCTCAGGTTTACAGGTACACCTTGCTGGCGAGTGCCAAGTAGCACGAAACCTGTGTCCACGGTTTCCTGTAGACTACCTCCAACCACCATCTAGAATGAACACTTGTATATGCCAATAAATACAGTAATATCGAGAGAGAGAAGTACTAACCTGTTGTACATCAATAAGCTTTTCATTAATAATCTTATCTATATCCTTTATTGTTGTATCCTGTTTAATTGTATTGATCAATGTACAATTATGTTTTAATTGTTGAGCTGCATCAATCATTAATTGAGTTTGTTTATCAGCCTGTGAAAATATTAATACAATCTGAAAAAAAAAACCATAAAAGAATTCATGTATAAATAGATAAATGTTCATGATAAATAAAATGCTTTACTATAATTATAATGAGAATTCATGTATTCAATGAGATATTCCCTTATGATTGTATTAGTTATAAGTTAAATAAAAGCTGGTTTGAATTACTTTTTTCTGGTTAGTGTTCTATTTATGGCAAGTTTGTTTTCTACAGGATGGGATTGTTAACCCCATACCCAACTCTCCTCTTTTATTCGAGCTTAGAATCGGCAGTAACCATAGCCTCTAGTCGGAGTGGAATCCTCATGGCCAAAAGCAGAAGAGAAAGACCAATGAACACATTACACCGAGAAATAAAGACAGATATGAACAAAATGAACAACAATTGGATAGAATTAGAAAAGAAGGCTCAGGTAAGAGCGGGTTGGAGAATGCCTATGCTCCATTGGCAGTAATAGGCGTAAGTAAGTAAAGTAAATAAAAGCTATACTTGAAATATGTTTTAAACATAAATGCTTGTAAACAAGAAGGTATAATGATATATATATATATATATATATATATGTAGTAGAGCTCAGTAATGAAAGGACTCAACTCCGCCTGTGGCTCTTCCAGAGTTACTGCCGGTCCCAAGCCCGGGTAAAGGAGGAGGGTTGGTTTATTATTTATTTATTTATTTATTTGAACACATAAATATTGGTACAAGAGAGCGCCAATATATATGCGCCACACAAAACAATGGGAATTCGAAGAGAAGTAGAGAGAAAAAAAAAACTAAGGAACGCAAAAGAAAAAGAGAGTAATGACGAAGAGGTACAATCAGAAGAAATCTTTCAGGTAAGGGAGACACAACCACCTTTTATGAAGAAAGTAAAAGAAGGTTACAGCAGGATCGCCACTGGCTTCTATTCTCAGCCATATCTGATAACATCTCTAGCCACTGTGTAGCACCATCTCTCGGACCCTAGCCAGGGAGTCGTGAAGAACCAACACAAGCCAGTCCTTTGCAGCTTTCTTTCATGCCACGACACCATGTCATGCACTGACCACCTCTCCGCTTCTTTCAACCAGTCCCAGAGTCGGCAAATAATGCACGACGTGGAATTCTCTGGGACGACATTCGGAGAACATGTCCAAGCCACCGAAGTCGGTGTTTCAAGATGGTGACACCAATTGAGTTATCATCTCTGTGCCCGAACACACGATGCCGAACCTCTGCATTACTGACATGGTGTTGCCACTGAATGTCAGAAATCCTTCGGAGACAGCGATGATCGAACACAGAGAGTCGTCTAACGTCCTCAACTCGGAGAGGCCAGGTTTCACAAGCATAGAGCAAAACTGCTCTCACCGACGCGTTGTAGATCCGGCCTTTTACAGCCAGACTAACATCACGAAGGCGCCAAAGGTGGCCCAGATTGGCATAAGCCGCTCTGGCTTTCACTATTCGTGCATTGATCTCATCACTCACACCCCCACCAGCACTTATGCAGCTACCCAGATACACGAACTTCTCAACTACGTCTATCTGCTCACCATCCAGGGTGAGTACAGGATTAGAATCCTGCCAGTCTTGTAGAAGTACTTTGCACTTCGAGGAGGGTTGGGCATGAGGTTAGCGTCCCCATCCCGTAGAAAACTAACTCGCTAAAAGAATGAAAGGACTCAGATTTTAATCAGTAAATTTTAGGGCTTTTCTATTATTTCATTTTCATCAGTTTATGAATCATTACAATATTACTAACCTTCAAACCTAAAGTATGGTTCATAGTCGACTAAAGTAATCTGTACTTAATAAATGAATTGAATAATTATCATTATTATCTATTTGATCAGAGAATTAATCATTGCAAAATGTTCAATACTTTTCAAGTTCATAAAGTAAACTATATGAATTGAATCAGTATGAATATACTTATGATAACAGATTTCTACCTGTTCAAAGATCACTGGAAACTAGATTATCACGAACGATTACTATCTTAATTGACAAGTCTAACACTTTAAAGCTTACAACACATTGTAAGACATGCACCGTATTACTTGTCAATTCATCTTGAAACATTTCTTGATCAGCATAGAATTTTGTGGAGATGATGAAATGTACATCAATTTTAAATTTCAAGTTAGTCTTAATTAGAACACAATTAAAAACTTAACAAAATTGAACGATTGGATACCGATTCATGGTTCTAGATATTAAGCGTTCATATGCCATCCAAATCGGAGGTATTTAGGTTCTATGCCCAAATACTGGGTTGTCAAGAGTTTCATACTAAAATGAAACGGTCATCCAATGATTTCAATTGATGAAGTTTTGTTCTCCGAGCTGGATGGTTTGGTCGTGGAGCTTTCATCGTTCTTCCGAACGACATCATCAGGACAAACTTCAAATAGAAGTGAAGTTTTCGAAGAAAACAATGACAAATTTAAGATCAATAAGAACCAATCAACGTCAAAGTGTACAGAACGAGCTGTGATAATCATATGGAGAAATTCAAACACTTCATTTCTATCTGAAGTTTGTGCTGATGATGTCGTCCGGAAGAAGAACGATAAAAGCTCCACGACCAAACCATCCAGCTCAGAGAACAAAACTCCATCAAAATCGTCCACCTGAGCTACAGATCTTCTCCACCATCTCAATGATTTCAACTTTCCAATGGTGTTCTAACTAAGAATAATTCCTGATATTTTGGTCAGTTTAGAACGAAAAACTATTTTTTTGTTTTCGCTCATACTATTATCATTGAATATACTATAGTGTATGTAACAGGCTCCAAATTGTAATGTGTTGATATCTTCTTCCTCATTATAAGTATGATTCTTCTAGATTACATCATTCATTTAAAACATTACTAACATATTACTTTTAGTCACATTGAACATAGACTACTTAAAGAAAGTAGGTTATTTAAATATATAATCAATAATTATGACAAGCAACTAGTACATTCAAGTATTATATTTATATACATGTGTATACATGCATGTATACCTATTCCCCCTCCCCCCCCCAACGGTAACGAATAAATAATAATAATAATAAATTGTGTGGTTATACTAAAAGTTGCCAACTGTCAAGACTAGATTTCAAAAAGAGAGTGAATTAAAAAGTTAAACTAATGAATAGACATCTTTATCGTGTATCCTATAAAACTGTTTATCGATTATCGATGTATTGTCAGTTTATTCACTGAATAAGATAAACATTCGAAATGGGCATTATATTGACATTGTAGATTGATCGTATATGAAATATGAATGTAAATGGACGTTTTTTCTGTTTATATTATAAATAAATTTGTTGGAATGATAATAACTATTATGATAAGTTAACTAAAAATGAGCAGAATACTCAGTCAGTTAGCTACAATAAAGGAACAGGCATATATATAGATGCAATCACAATTGATTGATCACTGGGTGGTGATCAATCTCATGCTTGTCTAGTCCTTATTAGTGCAGATCGAATGCTATCGATCATGTTGCAATGTGGCCACCAGCCTAGGTGACTCGACACTGCGGGCACTATGTATTGAGATTAGATGGTGGTTGGAGGTAGCATTCGATCTGCACTAATAAGGACTAGACAAGCATGAGATTGATCACCACCCAGTGATCAATCAATTGTGATTACATCTCAGTCTTACAGGAGGTCAGTGACGGCTCGGATAGCTCAGTGGTAACGTCTCTGACTGTGAAGCTGGGTGACACGAGATCGAATCCGCCAGGGAGCACCAGTTCCCTCAAGATTACAGGTACACCTTGCTGACGAGTGCCAAGTAGCACGAAACCCGGGTCCAGGGTTTCCTGTTGACTACCTCCAACCACCATCTAATATATATATATCCATCGGTTCAAGTTGCTATACCTCATTAGCATAGAAAGATGAACACTGGATTCATAGAAGTAGTTAATTCAGTGGTGGTAATATATAAAATAAAGATTTCAAATAAAGATAAAATACTACAGGAAATATATGCGATTTACTAAATACACGGAGGGTAAGAAGTAAAAAGATTTTATGGAAATCGATTATATGATAAGATTATTTTTAGACAGTTCTTCAAGGAACATCCTAGAATATCAATACCAAAATAATCAGAAGAGTATATCTTCCTGTAAATTTCATTGCATATGATGGCACAAATATCTCTTCTGGGGATATCTGAAGTAATAAAGACCATGGTAATTCAATAAATACTTTTTTCCCTTAAATATAGATTGATCTTAAATGAAAAGCTTGATTTGTATTCCTGGTTTCTTTTATCGTCTGAGATTAAAAAGTAGAACCTAGCCTACAAAACATGACAAAAGACCTCATTAAGTTTATTGCTGATTTGATAGATTTTCTGGTTAGAATTCTTTTTTTAGCGGGTTAGTTTTCTACGAGATGGGGACAGCCAACCCCTTTTCGCATTTATCCCAGCTTGGGGCCAGCCGGAGACCCAGAGGGGCTCCATGTTTTTTTATTTGATAGATATTGATACATGAATGTTTATAATAAATTTCTAGATGTGACGAGGGACTAATCACTGTAAAATGTAAATTTCAGTTTGTAGCATTTTACTCTCACAATTTAAAGATATAGAAATGGACAAAAACTGACTGATTATTAGAATATGTACAGAAACTAAATGACTATCTTCATTGTAGATCATTTTATTACATTTCAATGTAAAACGTAACTTTATTAAATACCGAAAACACTAAACATGTACTTATTACTAGTTTTATCTTCTTCCTTCCAATCTTCACCTATTGTTCTGCACTGAGTAAAAGTGGACAAATAAGCCGAATAGCCCATTTTGAAATGATTGATTCACATTAACAGTTTAGCTCATAGCAAAATTTGCCGTTGGAGAAATAGGGTAATACACAACACTAGACATCATTCAAAAAAGAAAGAAAAACACTACCGCAGTTAACAACACTCTAACAAGAGCATAAAAAGTCAAGGTATAAGATGAATACACAGAAGCAAACAACCAAATGAAGAGGAGCAT